TTTTCTTTTCAATTGCCATATAACAAACTTCTCGCTAACCTAGCTTGCTTGAGCTGTAGTGGCACAGCTTCTGACCAATATTTCCCAGTTCGGCTCTTGCGCTCGGTTGGTAACAGGTTAATATTTTGCATGGTGAAAACACAAACTGGCAGAAGTCAGCTCACTAAGCAAGGGGTGGGCACCAGGAATAAAAAGTGTCAGAAGTGGGAAGTTATATAGTTGAATCTGGTTTTTTGAACTCTCAGGGGAAAAGAAAAATAGCTCAAAAATAATAGTGAGCACTGAGGTCAGCATTAACAATGAAAGTAGTAATATTACTAATACATGATAAGTGCCATGGAATGCAACTTTTTTTATGTTAATTACATGTACTAACACTTATACGAGATTGAAGTGTGATGAAAATCAGAAAGGGCCAAATCTTTTCTGACAAGATCTGATGTGATGATGATGTCAATCTTTCAACTCCAACAATGGGTTTCAAAATAACAGGGTCAAAAAAAAAATCTATAGGAAATGGGGTTTGAGATCAATATAACAGGAGATAAGAGAAGTAACACAGTTCAAATTAACCAGTTCAAATATGTGCTCAAATTCCATGAGGTCAAGATATGAACTAATGCACTACAAATGTCTTACAAGTTTGCTTGCTGATGCAGCAGTAACCGTTTATTTGAAAGTAATTATTGTTTCAATGCCTAATATCAAGTTGTTGCATGTAGTTTCTTACTTTTGTATTTTGTTTGGCCTTCTTCTTCTTCACCTATGAGTACATTTGCTGCATCCTCCAATGTAACATGTCGTGTCTGCATAGCAAACAAAAAAATAGACGTTCAACAGTTTGTAAATCTGTAGTTCATCTGGGTGAGAGTAGTTTTGAAAAGAACTGTTGTTGGTGATTGATGTTCAGTCAATGATGATGCTGCCAATCCTAAGATATTGTACAGGATGCTTATCTCTTGAACATCATCGACTAACACTAGTCACTTGACCCTGAAGATGACTTCCGCTCAGGTTGTCTCCAACAACAGTTCTTTTCAGAACTACCCTCACCCGGACGATCACACAAGATGAACTACTGAACTCCAGGGTTCAAACCATTTACACTGTATTAAGTTTGTAAGGTCTGATTGGAGAGTTGTGGGATAACCAAATTTTATGAAAAGCATTTAGTGTAATTACTTTTTTGGTGGATGCCATGCAATGACTACCATTGCTTGTACTTACCTCAGAGACTAGAAACATCATCAAGAATTTTTGACTAAGGACCCCTAATGACTTGTCTTTTCTACAGTATTCACTATCTGCTAAAAACAAAGGAACAGTTTACAATTCATTAAAGTAAAGCTTAACATATTCTGATTTTTGAACTTACATGTAAGATTCTCATTCATTAACAAAGCCAATCCTCACAGAGTGTATATAACATGTGTTGTCTCTCCATAACCTGGTTAAATGTACATATGTATATGGCTTAGCTCCAACAAGTGTGTACATGTAGCTTGATCCCTGATAGCAAGTCTGACTGCTGTGCAGCGTTTCAGGGTTTCATGAGTTTGGCCATTAATTCACAAAAGGTACAGTAGTAAACCATTTGAGCCAATTGTAGTAAGTGTAATCATGAGAGAAAGATTTCTAGATTTTATCAAAACCTTGGTTCCTACTTAACACATCTACATGGTACATTTACATGTAATTTTTAATTACATGTAGTAGTGCTGTAAGATCTCAGAAAGCTGGTCAGCCCAGTTGACTGAACTCACATGAATAAGCTCTTAAGTGACGCACATTGAAAATTGTGTCCCTTAACCTGGAGCTAGTGGGCTTTATCCTTCACTTGCCTGATGGGCAAGTGAAGTTTCTCAGAAAATGTTCAAGGGAATTTAATTGTAGAAGTACTGTCAGTAAGATCTATGAATTTTGGGGGCTAGTGAAAATGACTTTGGGGCCAGCAGCTGAAAATTGGTTTTCTTTGTACCCTGCAAGTGCTGGATTTTAAAAAGCCAGGCACCTGTACATACCTTTAAATTTGAGCTTTTTATTAGCATTATCCTCTGCTGAATTGTCTTGCATGGTTGAAGGTGGTGGCATGGGGCTGTTGTCCAATTTGGGCATTGTTGGTGTTAATGCTTGGACAAGGGACATGATATTAGAATCCTTTGGGAGTATCAACGGCAACTGGGTTGGCATAACTGGAGCCTTGGCCTAAGACAGAAAAATTATATTACAGACTCTTAATTAATGAATTCTACATGTACACATAAACAATATACATTGCAAAGGAGTGAAAAAAAAATCTAGTTATAGTAATAGCCATCTCTTATCTGTAAGCCCATAAATGAAAAGCAGACTTGCACATAAGCTCACTTGCTCACTGACATGTATTTTACATGTCATGCAAATAATTTGATAAAAAGGTTTTTTTGAGAAAATTCATTTGTACATGTATTTCTGTTACACAGCAGTATATCTCAAAACAAGGGTTCTAGGGTGAAATAATTACCTTCTCCTTTTTCATTTCTTTGGTTTTGGGATTTTCCTTTCCTGAAGGTGAGGGCTTTAATTTTAGTCCTTTTGAAACAGCATAGTTCTGTTTAACAAAAAATAAAAAAAATAAATTAAACCTACATGTACATACATGTAAATACAAGCTTGATATACATGTGTATAAATTCTTATACAGATGATCATATATATCTATTTCTTTCAAGCTTGGTGCTTTAATAAGTACAATTAACACCTCAGATTTTTTTTTACTTACTATTACAAACTCAACACATGCCTAGCAGTGTAAATGCAGTGCATCTTACTTGGCAAATAAAAATTTCTTTAGGCAAATGGTATCAGTGTTCATACAAAAGCACCCTTTTTCAGAGTCAAAATTTCAGGATTTTTCCAGATTGATTTTCCCAGGACTCTAAAATTCGCGTTAACCCAGGTTTCACTCCCTAGATCTCGATGTTTATTCTTCTTACTGTCTGTCATACATTTCATTTTATTACTTGAGTTTAACAGATTTCTAGAACTTTCCAGGGCCTTTTTCCAGGGCTGTCACTAAGGGCCGTAACCCATAACACCTTTTATGGCTGAGTATGCTTGAGAGGCCCTTGATGTTACAGGTGTGAAGATCAAGGCGACAAGTGAGTCAAAACTTAATAACAATCGTGTTTTCCAGGACTTTCCAGGACCCATATGAACCCCAAGTCTATATTGAGATGCCATTTATGAAAAATTTATAACAATTTATTACATTGTTGTACCTTTAGTTTGATGAGGGTAGAGGGAAGTCTTGATTTGCCATGCCAGATGTATCTGTTCTTTGCATATCTCCTGATTACTTCCACACTTTCTAAAACATTAACAATGTCATATATACGTCTTCTTTCCACACCTGCAACATAATAATATTGTTTTAAATGTAGTCAAAAAAACCTAATCCAATTCCACTGTTTGACATGCATTTTATCTATTCTCTTAACCCGCTTACATCTGTTTACTGGGTCTGATGTACGGTATTTGAACATTTTGCTGAATGATGGAAAATCCGATTAAACACACCAACACTGGAAAACATCTGAGTTATCTTGGAGGGGTGTATGGAAACCAGAATAACAAATAGCGACAAATAATCATTCAATAATCACAGTTGGCTTAAATACCTGTACAGTTAGCCTACATACATGTTCTAACCAGATTACTATTTAGGATGGTTATGATTATTCAGTGACTTTTTGCTGTTGCATATTTGTTATCTGTGTTTTCCAGACAGAAATCTTGAAGAGGCTAAGGCTACATTTTCTAACTTGGATAATAGGTGGTTTAGAGTCTACAACTGTAGAGAGACATTGGATTGCAGCCATTGGTCGGCTTTACAGCTTGTATGACATGTCATTGTGGAGTCAGTTTCAGCAGACTGTTAATTGCAGATGTTAGGTAGTATTGTCTGGCAAGCAAGCAAGCAACAATCATGATTTAGTAATTTCCTAGCGTTAGCTATCAGTGCTGGCTACTTGTTTTATTTTGATTAAATGAAGGAGTTGTTTTCTTACTTAGGTCTTTTGCCACATCATCTAGCCCAATCTCAATAAACTGATCCACCTTTGGGTACTCTGGGTATTTTGACAGAAACCTGTTGCAAAGAGAACAGAGAAATGTTATTTGAACATACAAGTGCAACTAAAAATCGAAGCATATACTACAAATGTTACATATTTTACATGTACGCTTTCCATAAGCACCAGTATTTCACGAACGGAGAAAAGCGCAAGCATTAAGGCAGAGATCTCAAAAAAGAGCAAAGTGCCTTTATGTCACATTTAGATCTGGACAGACGAATACATGACTGCTATGAACATTTCTGTAACGCCACCTCGTGGTTGATATGCCCGTGAAAAATCATTACATTTTCACTTGATTGTTGAGAAATCGAAGGTTTAGGAAAATTTGACGTAGTGCCTCCTGATCAAAAGAAAATCATCTACACGTAATATAACTTCAATCAAAGAACACATCAGTAGCTTTTTGGCTAGTAACCAATTTGTTTTCACTTCTCATTACAAATTCAAACATTGCCACGTCTAGCCAAATTTGGCGCTAAACGGTTAACCAGGCTACAACGCTCGTTTCACTTACTTCTGACACAGAAGGCCAAGCGACTTGTCTTTGCGGCTAATAGTGATCTTGCTCCCTCCATAATCGACTTGACTAGAGTCTTGATTTACGGTTTTGTCGCTCCCGAGTGCTTCAGATTGTCTTGAATTTGAAATGAGCGCGTTAGCTGCCGTATGAAGGGTCTCGAAGGTGTTAAAACTTTGACCAGGAAACAGTTCTCTTTTCTTGATTTCCCTATCGCGAATTGCCGGACTAGCAGCACTAACAAGCATTTTAAGATTAGCTGTAGGAGTCAGTGGATCGTCACTGGTTTGATTTGTCGAGCTCTTTGCTGTACCGACGACCTTTGGTGGAGTAGCAGGAGGTCCTTGATTCCAAACACTATTCAGCTGACTTTTGCAATCCTCGGCAGTGGGCGCTGCCATTAGTTGTTTCTCCTGCACTGGTGACCCATCAGCGACCACATTAGTCCCTTCACAGTTTGTAGCTATACAAGAAAGCTCCGCCAACGAAGGATATCGCCGCAACGAAAGGGAGTGCGATGAACTATTGCACTCGCTTTCGGTAGAGTTGGCAATGTGATCTGTATCTGTTGTATAGTCGTTATCCCAGTTTTCAGGAATTAATAGTGCTGGGTTTGATTCCATAACGTCCCTAACACAATTCCAGAAGAAGTTAGTTTAGTTAGGCTGGCAGAAAGAACAAACGGATGAAATGTATTCTGAATTTACAACAATATTCATGAGTCGTTACAAATGTCGGCGTCTAGCTGGCGCGTCCTAATAGTAACGGAAAGTTGTCTTCGATTTCAAACTGAACAGATCTCCAGAATGTTATACAATAACTGATCAAAATAAAAGTATTATAGTCATAGAATGACAGATAAACCTTGCAAAATATCCAGACTGTGTCAGAGAATTTGTAGCAATTTTTAAGACTACAGAGTGAAGAGGCGGGAAGCGCTAATCTCAGCGTTTGTGATCGCGTTACTACATTGGGTAACTTACCTCTGTTCCAAAATGTCTGTCAAGTTCTCTTCGAAGACAACGCCGTGCAACTTTGTCGATAATTCATGTGGGTGTAAAATCACTTTAAGGGCAGCAAGAAGCTAAAGTAACTGAAATATCACCTCGCCTTTCTTTCCCAGTACAATGAATCCGCGTTATAAGCGGTTGTGAGTTTTTGGCGCGTTCAATTTTACGCGGGGATTCGGCTCGTCACCCAAGCTCCACTATCATCCAATCAAACTCTCCAATTTCTATCATGTGACTTATCCCTGTAGTCTGGCCAGGCAGCCTAGCTAGATTTAGTCTACTCGCAAATTCAAATAAGCCGTGGTTACCAAGCAAGCACGCTTCGCGCGCTCCGACAAAATGGCGGCTGCAAGAGGAGGTATTGAAAAAACCCTACGTTTTGTGCAGTTGTCATGTTAAAGTAATGTGATTTACTGGCTTTATATTATCTTTAGGAATTTGGAGACCGTATAAGGAGCTTCAGGCAAGCGTGGAACGAGCTTTATATAAGAAGAGTCCAGAAATATACCATGAACTTGAAGTTGCTTTGAAGAAGTTCAAACCGGATTTCATTTCTTTGCTGAAAAATCCGGTAGGTGTAGATTGCGTTTTCAAATTGTATGATATAAAGAATGATTTTTTTTGAAAAACTCATAAATCTATAGGAAGTAAAGCTCCTTTCATGTCTAATTAAAATCGAAAGAACTGATGAAAGAAATGTCTATTAATTTAATGAACACACTCGGTTTTAGTCTGGGGCCGGAAGCAGGATGGACATCTTTATGCAGCTTTATGTAGATTATTAGCTGAAGTAACCAGCCTTAATTTTAGTGTAGGATTAGGTAAAGCGATCAGCCTGTTTGCAGTTATAGTTTAAGATCATT